TGTCTTTTCTCCACATTGGCCTCATGGACGAACCATGGGAACGTTACACTTAGGGGCGCATTCGGGCAAATTGGAGACATCCCGCCTTGCAGAGGGGCAGCCCCCAGGGAGCCCCCCCCCCTACGCAGCCAGGCCCCAAGCCGAGGGAGCCCCTCAGAGCACAGGCCTGACCTGCATGCAGACACGAGGGGTGGCTCTACCTGGCTCTCCGATGTCGTGGGGAACAACGTTGCGCAGCTTCACCGGGGCCGTCTGTCCGCTCATGAGGTACTGCCGAGGGCGAGCGTCCTCATTCAGCACTGCAGCAGCTGGGATGGGGCAGGGAAGCGCCATCAGCAGCTGTCCAATCGGCCAGCCGGCTGCCTCTGCCGCCAGCCAAACGCAGGACAGGCCCTCGGGAACATTCGACACGGCTCAAGGAGGCGCGTTCCCTCCCGGCCGTGCCGGGGGCATCCCTCGGCCCAGACCGCCTGCAGAGCCGGCCGAGGAAGCCCAAGGGGGAGGGGAACCCACCCATGTCGTACTGCAGGCTGAGCTCCAGCTTGGGCCACAGCATGGCGAGCGCAAAGGAGGCGTAGAAGTGGACGTCGTAAGTGTTGTACATACGGTACTCCTGGCCTGGAAGGAGGAAGCGGCAGCGGCTGCACATCACAATGGCTTCCCCCTCCCCAGCATCCGTCCCCCCCCCCCAGGGCCCAAAGTGAAGCCTCACCTTCCAGGTAGGCAAACCTGCCGTACTCTTGCAAGACCGGGAGCAGCTTGGAGAGTCCCCGGGCCTCCTGCAGGGCCTCCTTGTCCTCGTGCAGCAGCTCCAGCCAGATGGTGCCTCCATCGGCCAGGAAGTAGAGCTCATTGAAGAGGGCCGACTTGTACCAGGGTGGCAGGTCGCTGCGAGAGGCACACAGGGGTCCTTCGATGGGTCCTCCTCTGAGAGGTGGGCTCACTCTGCCCAGAGGCCTGCCCACCCGGCCTGGGGGCCCAGGAAGAGTGGGGACCCAGCCACCCCTTCAGCAGAAATAACGCAGAGCCGATGGGGGATGCAGCCCCCGCCATGGTCACAGAGTCTGGGCAGCCCGAGGCCAGGGGTGGGGGGCAACCAGGGGTGGGGGGTGGAGGAGACAGCCTAGAAGCAGCCCAGTTTGGCCAGAGTGGACCATGGTGGCCCCTCAGCAGAGGGAGAGCAGGAAAAAACTCTGGCGCTGGGCCCCTACCTGCCACTCAGGAGACCCCCACCCACAGGGCGCTACCTGTTCGCCAAAATGGGCCCCTGCCAGGCCTCAATCCTCTCCTCCCAGGCCTCGTAGCGGCTCAGCAGATGGTGGGAGAGTGCTGGGCAGGCGTTCCCGTCGCTGCCAAAGAAGCGAGTGTACCACCTGTGGGCAGAGAGGAAGACGGACCCTCAGCCATCCAGAGCCTCGGTCGCGAAGCAAAGCCAGCCCGGCCCAGGCCGCACAGAGACCTGGGGATTGGGGAGAGCAATTTTCCCAAGGGGGGCCTGGGAAACTGGGACTGTTGTGTGGCTCCACAGGCCGGAGAGAGACAGACAAAGGGTCGGATGGACCCGCAGGTGGTANACTATATAACTTTGACCAATAAAATAAAAGTAGTTCATTGTCATTTCCCCTACAATATTTTTTTTTAGTCTTTCTTGGGCATCAGCACATAGCTGGGGTCCACGTTTTGTGTGTGAACAGAACAAATCGATAAAGTGAGTTTAAAAAAAAAAGGTGCAAAGAAAGAAACAGGAAAAAGGAAAGAGAAAGAAAGGAAAAGTTATAGAGAAACTGCTTCCAACCTTCACAGCAATTATAAGTACAATCTCCCAAATGCTGGAAATGTAATCAGACCCCCAGGCACTTTCTATTATATGTGGTGGACTTGTATGAAAGTGAGAAAATACACACAGAGTTGGAAAAGATGATTAAACAATGTATAGACCTGAAACCAGAAATATTTCTGTTGGGTATAATGCCGAAGGGTTATGCATGTATTGACAGCGGCAAGGGTTGTATTTGCAAAATATTAGAAAAAATGAGAACACCCCATCAGATGAGGATGTAATTTGGAAAATGTGAGATTGTGCCGAGATGGACAGACGGACATTAAAAATAAAACATAAAGAAGACAGAATACTATTTGATCCGGAATAGATTTGATGAGTGGTTAGAGACAAGAGGTAGAAATTACACGAAGAAAGATTACTGCTATGCGTGAATTAAATATAAAGATGGTTCATAATTATATGACAATATAATCAACAGAAGTATAAATAAGCCAAGATAAAGAGAAATTTAGCTAAAACTATTCTCTTACATTATTACTATTGTTACCAGTATATGTACCAGTATATCAAGGAAGTGAGTACACCCCTCACATTTTGCAAATATGTATTTGTTGCCAGCAGTTTAGACATTAATGGTTGTGTGTTGTGTTATTTTGAGGGGACAGCACATTTACACTGTTACACAAGCTATATACTTACTACTTTACATTGTAGCCAAGTTCAGTGCTGCCACAGGAAAAGACATCCTTAAATATTTACAAAATGTGAGGGGGTGTATTCACTTCTGTGATATACATATATTTTCTTTATTTTTCTCTTGTAAATGATACACGGACAATGCACTGTGTTAAAAATATTTAAAATAAAATATCATAAAATATTCATGATATTTTTTTTTTAAAAGTACATTTAGATTTTACTTCTCTGAGGTAAATGACGAAATAATTTCGTTCGTGCTGTATTCTAGCCTTTCTAAATCATCAAATCCCTCAATCATTTTAATTTCTTTTTTTTTTTCAGCAAAAAGGCTATGAGAGATTTTCAATCCCTAATAAAGGCATTATTGTCTCTAATCAACCAACTTCCTGTTTATCTGTTATGCGTTTTATTTTTTAAGTCGGGGAGAAAGCCATCTCTGTCATTTCCGCTCTTCTCTCTCTCTCTCTCTCTCTCTCAGCTACCTGCAAAGATGTGTGATCAAACCTTCGTGGTCAATATTTTTGCGCCCTGCGACATTTGTAATAAAGAGAAGGTTTTGCAACAAATATTTTACAAGGCGGAGAAACGCAGCTGCTGTGCGCTCTGCGTGAAACAGGTAAGGGCCTGCAATGGTCGGAATGCTGTTTGGGTGGGGAATCTACTGGATCTAGTGGGGTGTCCCTTGTAGCTGGGGGAACCCCATCTTCACTCTCCTGCCGTCACCCTGCTAGCG